AAAACAACTGTTTAGTTAAACAGGAAAACCCTTTGACCGCCTCTGAATCATATTAAAATCTACGTTGTTATGTGCTTTTGTTATCTGCAAGTCCTGGGTTCGAATTCCGTTATGTACCTATGTGTTCGATTTTCAAATTTCAATGTAAATTTACCCGAAGTTCTTACGGTGGAGGAAAACATCGTAATGCCTGCACATAGGCGAAGTAATTCAGAGATATGTGCAGTCAAGCTACAGTATAGCGTGGTACTAGTCACCTCAACTTGTGATAGGCTGTGAGCCCATTAATAATGGTATAATCAGCTAATAAAGGTGAAAACGGTCAACGATAAATCTATACTAATGTAATAAAGCGTAAACACACACTGCTTTGTGATGTAGGATGTCAGCAATCACAGCATATATTTGAATAATTCTTTCTTTATGAACAAGCCCTACACTTACGACACGCTTCAGCCTATGTATTTTCACGCTATTAAACTTTGGGGGTAAAAAAACTTTCATGTGAGAAAAGCCCCTATGCTGCCAACATTAAGAAACCAAGGTTATTAAGGTAACGGTAATTTTGATCAAGGCACACGGGAACAGATAGTTTCACATATAACAGTGACAGCTAAGACATCCGCAATCCCTTGCTTATGTACAACCGACAGGGAAGGGGACGCACAGAAAGCGTGACAGTTGAAAGTCAAACAGGTCAAATGATAACATTCCCGGTTTAGAAGCTGGGGGGAGACCCCGGTTGCTGTAAGAGCAAACAGTTATCACAAGACTTTGATAAACAAAAGAGCGATCCTTTTAAGTTGAGAACACATCCTTATTCATGAACATATCGTAGCGATGTTGAAACGTTTCAGAAATGGTAATTTTTAAAAATTACTACTTTTGATTATGAATAAAAAAATACATTAAAAGTAATACTTTAGAGAAGAGACTGAACAACTTAAAACTATGCAAAATTCGAAAAATTAAATCGCAATTAAATTTATCATTCAATACAAGTAGAAATAAAACCTATAGAAATAAAAACTAAAAATTTCCTCAATACATCTTACTAATTCTTACTTCTTACTAATATTATAAATGCGAAAGTTTAGATGGCTGGATGGATAGATGGATGGATGTTTGTTAGCGTTTGTAGCCTAAACGGCTGAACGGATCTCCATGAAATTTGGTGCAGGTTTAGAGCAGTCTAGAAGAACACATAGGGTACTTTTTATCCCGTTAATAGTTACGGTTCCTGTGGGATTCATTAATTTAGTTTTTTAATGTTTACTCGATCATTCTGCAACGTTTCAACATATCCTTTTGAAATTTGGCACAGATATACAACAAAGTCTGGATTACACATGGGATGAGGTTCATCCCCGAGAAATGTCCGGTTCCCGAGGGATACGTAGTTTTTTGTTATTTATATAGTTCGTATGTTTTCTAATACCATGCGGACGAAGTCGCGGGCAACAGCTCGTTTTTACATAAAGAACAATAGTTAAACTTTTTTTATGCGACACAATACGGAATCGTTCATAAAAATTAGCAGTTCCTACGTGTAATGAATCAGAATAAGTCTGCACAGGTAATCCCCGAGTTGATTTTCCCGTTCACGCAACAAAACGCAACATGCAATCACACTGCCATAACATGTGATAAAAACATATGTTATCTCTTTCATTCTGTTTGATTAAACAGAGATAGAATGATTTTCTATATGTAGCATAAAATATTGATAATAAAATGTTTATTTATCAATTATATTGCTTAAAAAATCTTAAGTGCTCTTAGGTATTAAGTAATTTAAAAAATGAAGTGTCTGTCAACCACAGATAATACAATGACATACTAGTACTGGTTAGAACAAAGAAAAAAGAAACTTCGCATAAGACGTATTTGCTTTAGTGAAAAAAAGAAGCCAGTATTTAATCTCTTGTCTTTTTAATCTTTTGCCGACTTCCTAAAAGATGGAGTCATTCTTCTCTATATTTTGTGTGTTATGGCATATCTCCGCTTCAGGTAGACCGATTTTTTAAATTCTTTTTTTTATCCGAAAGGTATTGCTTGCAGGTGGGTCCCATTTTTTGTTTGATTTTTGGAGTCAAAGACTACTGCGTAGTTAAATAGTTTAGCTCAAATTTACGTGACGAACATTAGGGTCTTTCTCGTTTACTTTGCTCTCGTATCCTTGACTATAAGACTTACATAAAATTATGTATGGAAGAATAAAAAAAAAATCTCTTTAAAATTGCTAAATAAAATTCCACGATAACATATATCTATCTATTAAGGTTGTCGCACAATAACCACTTTATTCACTAAAAACAGTTCGGTATGAATTCTTATCCAAATTAATATGTCCATCATCAATAGAATTTAATGTAGATTATAAATGTCCTTTGAACTATGTAGTTATATAAATCCAATCTATAGTTTAGGAGATATCATAAAAACAAAATTACGGATCGCAGAAAAAATTACCAATTTGTGAAAAAGTTTTCTTTCTCGGCTTACGTAGCCAAAACTAAGAGACCTACATAAAAACATAACAAATATTATCGACCTTATTTCCGGTGTTACTAAAATACTTTGATATTGGCGAAAAACCAATGGATACAGTTGTTGTATTGACTTTTACTCTAAAACTCCAAGTTGATAACGATGCCATATTTTTGCATATCTGTCAAGTATAGTGGAAACACCTTTGTGCTGGCGGTTGTTTTGCATATAATTGTAATTTTTCTAGTCCAGTGACCCTAGTATTTGCGTAGTATCAGTGGTTAATTGTACAAAGAATTGTATCTCATTTAATTTGCTAAATTAAAGTCCGCGATAGCATATATCCATCTCTTAAGGTTGTCGCACAATAAGCGTTTGTTTCTCGAAAACCACCAATTAAAATACAATCCACTTTACGACGCTTTCATTCTTATTTGGTATAAATCCTTATCGAAATAAATGTTTCAGGTAAGAAAATTAAATGTAGATTATAATTGCCTTTTACATGTAATTCCTACCGATATTCTAGAAGATATCAAAATGTTAAAATTCACGGGCAACAGCGGTGGAATAGAATTACGAGTAAATGATCGCAACGATGTATTAGTTCTTTACTTAATTCCTTAGCTAACCGATTTAGATAATTCATTCTTTGTTTGAACGCTAGATTTACTGAAAATCGTCAACTAAATATTTTTTAAATAAATAAACACTAAAATGTATCAAAACGAATCCTTGAAATATTTCAACTTCCCTTGTTGTAGCTGTTACATGTCTGTATATGTCTATATTATACAATTATTAATACTTAAATGTGTCCATTTTAAAAACATATATATGTTCTTTGAAACTAATTTCACGTTACATAATCTAGGGGATCCTTTACTGCATAATGAGTTAAATATTTATTTCTTAATGACTACTACGTGCAAAAAACAAAACATCGATGCAATAATCTTTTTGAAGTGTTTAAATTATTACTAACGTGAAGATGCAGCTTCGGGGAAGTCCAATGATTTAAATCAAGTTCTCACTAATCTTAGAGACGTATCTCTTCCAGTTATCATCTTCTATCTATCTACACTGATTTCGGAGCCTACTCTAAGTGGCAAGGCCATAATCAAAGCACTGCGGGTTGACTTCACACATCATTGAATTTATTGAACGACTAGCTGATCTCGTGCGACTTCATCTGCATGAAGTTATTGCAAATATCAAATTACCTTATATGGCAATCTTGCTTAATGTTGGCAGCAGCTTATGGTCTCTTTCCCACTTTAGGGTTTTTTATCATTTTTTTAGGCTATATAGTTTATTAGTGAAAATATGTAGCCTAAAGCGTGACATAAGTGTAGCGGTTTTTATTATAAACAGAGTTATTCAAAAATCTGCTGTGATTGCTGACATCTTAGGCAACAAAAAAATGTGTGTTTACGCTGTATTATAATAGTATAGATATATAGTCATTACGATATTTTCTCTTACTGTAAACGTCGGGTACATATGTAATTAAAAATATATGCGACAAAACGATGGGGACATAAACAAGAAAGTGTTAAGATTGAATATTGATGGCTACAAAGGTAGAGGAAGACCGAAGAAAGTATGGATGGATTGTGTGTAAGAATCCTCTTACACACAATCCATCCATGCTTAAGGAAGTATTCAGATATGACGACTGATAGAAATGTATGGAGCAGCACATACTGTGCCGACCCTCTGTAAGGGATAAGGGCAAGTTGATGTAGTTAAAAACAGACGGATTGACCTCCTCCTTTTTGGAGTCGGTTAAAAAGGTTATATAACGTCCTAAAACAAGGCCAGGAAGTAATCTTTTATTTATTATTTACAATGTTTCTCGGAATTACATCTATATAGATACTATTGTTTCCGACAAAAGAAATTCTAAGAATAGTTATATTGAAATTCCAATGAAACGTGGAATTGTGAAAATATCGAATGCCTAAGAATGTAAATGTTGATTTAACATCTACATAAGATTTATAACAATCTGTGATTTGTAAAAAAACTAAAGTACAGACAAAATAAATGTGGCTAACGTCAAAATAACCTTAACTAAACGAAAGGTTGGATAAATAACGTTTGAGACATTTAACCTATGATTAGAAATTTGACCAGCATTTTAAGACTCTTACGTAGTTAATTTGTGCAAAATTGTGTTTATTTAAATTTTTGAATAATTCTACAGAAGGAATAACTTTGCTTAATACAAACTTTGGACCCCATTTTTGCTCTTTAGGGGAATAATTTCGTATATTCCTTTCTACGTATTAACAGAAATCTGTATCCAAAATTACAAGTCTAGGCCACCAGATGTTTATTCCCTCTCCGCTTTTATCCCCCGGATTACATATCTATAGGTTATCAAATGATTAAACCCGTGTTTATTTTTAGTTGACAATAAAAAAAAACAGTATAAAATGTAGTAGAGCAACCCTTAGTTTGCCGCCATTATAAAAGCGCGGGAAAACATACATGATTGCCAGTATTCGAACGCCAGAGGCCGCTGCCGCGCGATTTGCGCCGGTTCACGCGTAGTTCCGTGAATTAAATCGGAATTATTTAATTAAAAAATAATACTGGCTGGTTATAAAATTATCTTTTAAAAATTAATTTATTTTCGTTATTTGAATTTAGAACAGATTTTGTTTTGACATTTTCCTTTTGTTATTGTTGTTTTTTAACGTTAAAATGGTGAACAAAGTGTACGAAATCACACCAAGCAAAGAAGAGAAGAGAGGAAGCAAACACAATCAAATACTTATGTCGATAGTTGGTAAGCACTATGTACTATTTTGTTAATTTTTAATTTCTTCACAATTTCTGTCTTAATAGTCAAAACTAAGACATTTGTATTTTTTTATAAATATGTTTTATTTATATTACTCGGATTAAATGTTATTGTTAAAAGATTTCTAATTTATTTATGAAATATATGAGCAAATAATTAATGTAATTTCATTACTTAACAAATTATTACAAATCTAATTAGACTTGTAAGCACGTATTTAGATAATCTCAAAAATATTTTATTTAGAAATCCTTTACACACCAATAGGACGGTTATACACACACAAATAAACATGCGAAATAAGAATGGGAAATCTTATAACATCATTAGAGTTCCATGGTCTCTGCCTACCCTTTAGTTTACAGGCATGAGTTATGTTGGTCACATGTTTTACCTCGTGGTGGAAAACGAACAAGCGACCACCTGAATCCACCGAAATGGAAAGCGACTGCTGCCCATAAACATCCGCAATTGCAGATGCGTTGCCTACCCTTAATTGACGGAGGAGATACCCATAAAGAGGACATTTCCCCTTCCTATGCGTCTTCTCCACCGTCAAATCCACTTTTCCTTCCTATCATTTTCTCTTAAGAAAAGGGTGGAAAGGGAAAGGGAATAAAATCAGGCCTCCGGCATCATCAGACGAAACGCGGAATTGCTTCCACTTCACGCCTGTTTTCTGTGTGGTCGTGGTATTACACCGAGCCGGCCCATTCGCGCGTAGATGTTAAAGCGGGCTCTACCACTGTTAATATACAATTGTAAAATTAATGACAAAGGCATCGTTTTATAACGAGTAATCATTAGACGATAAAGATATTGTAATTTATTTCGATATAATGAATTGAACAATCAAAGAGCGCGAAAGATTAACCTGATTATCTTAAATGAGAAAATAATTTTAAACGCACTTTTTGTAGCATTTTCACGAAAAACAATGATCGTAATTATTTCTCGTTATATTATACTAATAATCTTCTTCTTCTGGTGTCGTCACATAACGAAGATAAATCATTACAGCGACTTGAAGTTTGGACGCAGCAGCGCTAAATATAGAACGCGTACTTTTATTGTACCACTGGCGAAGATTTATAAGCCACGATGTTCTTCTCCTTCCTGGACTTCTTTTCCCTAGAATGTTACCCTGAATGATAGTCTAACAATTCGTATTTCGGTCCACGCAAGATATATACTAATATTTTATATAGATACTAACATAAATTCAAAAGTTTCGATGGATGTTTGTTAGAGTTTGTTATAAACGGCTGAACGGATTTAAATCAAATTTGGCATAGATATAGAGGATAGTCTGGAAGAACACATAGGCTACTTGCATTTGTGTTTTGAGAACCGCGCGGACGGCGTCGCGGGCGAAAGGTATTTCTATATAACAAAAGAGAATCTTTAAGTTCACAGTGGACCAAAAACAAATACATGTTAAATGGAATCGAACCTACAGGTGCTCAATTCTAACTGACAGTTTTAACTGAAGATTCAAACTGTTCTGTTGAAATTGTCTGTTCTGGCGACTGTTTTTACTGTTTAGTTAGAGTGTTCAGGAGGTTAATAAAACTCACTAAGTAATAAGCGTCAATTCTAAGAAGTCTAGATTATTTATAAACTAAACAAATTTCCGATTAGCTAAATGCATTTTCCTCGTTCGTATTTAGATGCATATGATGAAAACTAACAATGATGTAATAAACAAAATAAAGATGGATGCGGCATTTCAATACACTAGTAATTTATCTTACTTCTTATTCTTATTAATATTATAAATGCAAATCTTTACATGGAGGTATGTTTGTTACTATTTATCTGTACGACTCAATGTATACCTGTTCATTTATTAAATGTAGAACATAGCCTGGAAGAACACATTGGATACTTTTTTTTAATTCCTCGCAGACGGAGTCGTAAGTGGCAGCTGGTATTTTTGACCGACTTCCCAAAAGAAGGAGGTATTCAATTCGACGATATTTTTTTTTATTTTTTTTTACGTGTGTTACGGCATAACTCCGCCGCTAGTGGGCCGATTTTGATAATTCATTTTTATTTTTAAAATAGTGTAGTGGTTTGTACTAATGTCATGATGATTTAATACTTTTTTTTTTCAAAAGGTCCGTTTACATTATTTTAATTTCTTGGAGAAATTTAAAAATTATAATTTGATCTCCGGTGAAAATATTATTTCTATAATGCTATCTTATCCATTGTATTTCTAACATCCATGGTCGATTGTAGATCGCGCCAAATTATTTTAACGGCGACACGTGATTTGTCTTAATTGGTCACGAGATGCCCTTTATCTTTGTTGACAATAATAATAAACAACTAATGGACATGCATCATCATCAACATCACCAGCTCACTATACGTCCCCACCGAGGGGCTCGGAGCCTACCCTAATACGGGGTGACTAGGCCATAGTCAACCACGCTGGCCAAGTGCAGGTTGGTTGACTTCACACATATCTTTGAATTTCTTCGCCGATATGTGCAGGTTGCATCACGATGTTTTCCTTCACCGTAAGAACGTCGGTAAATTAGGTATATGAAAATTTGAAAAATCGAAAATCACATTGGTACATGGCGGGATTCGAACCCAAGACCTGTAGATTACAAGTCAAGTGTTCAAACCACTGAGCCACCGACGCTCTATGTGGACTATCTAATGGACATGCGGTATTCTAAAACTTCAAACGCAAGCATGTTGCATTCCGTATACATTCTTGTAATATGCAACCTGCAATGTGCGAAGAAGATTGACTACGTGAATTCCCCAACGCGTGACTATGGGCTAGTCACCCCTAACTTTATCCATGGCCATGAAATGAAGGGAATCATGTGTGTAAGGGTTAACAATAATCATTAGTTGTGTTGTGAGAGCCATTAATAAATACAATAAACTATAGAAATGCAAAATATATTCGTGTATAACAACAACGCTTTGTCACTCTGATGATTTGTTTTGTGTTGCATGATGTCATGTATGTCGCAGATCAATAGCGTAAATCGGCTCTTTACAATCGAACTAGACGTCCGGAAAACTTAAAAAAACACTTTGAACCAACCATTGGTTTTACATTCAAATACCAATTGTATTTTTCGATATATGTAAAGATGCATATTTATATTTTAAATAAACATTTTTATTCCCGGTTTGCTATGCCAAAATACGTGTAATTACGTAATATAAACGATTAAATTCTTACTGAAAAAAAAGCAAAAAAAAAAAACTATATTGGTATTATAATATGTGTTTGGTACAGAAAATAGGTGATTTAGACTAATTGATATTGACATTAAATATACCTAGTTATTTTGCCAATTGACGTAGTTCAACAATGACCGGTAACATGCATTATCTTGTATTACGTCATTAATTCTCGTGAATAAAGGGATATTGTGTCTAGGACCAAGTTTACACACCGTATACGCATTTTTAGAAATAAAACGCATCCTAAGATAAACATAAACATTCATATAAATATAAACTGTAAAAAATGATGTTCTAGATACTAGCGACCCGTCTCGACTTTGCATGTAAATTTATATTTCATTTTTTTTATAGGTTAGCTTTTACCAGCGACTTTCTTGCAAAATAAAAGAAATAGAGTAATATAGCCTATGTTACTCCGTAATATTGTAGATTTCTAATGTTAAATAATTTTTAAATCTGTCCATTAATATTCAGATTATTAAAAGAAAACAAAATACATATGAACAGTTTATTTTCTCCTTACAATCTCCAGACTGTAATCTATCTCTGTTCTAAAAATCATCTAGATACCGTCAACCGTTCTGGACTTACACGTTAACAAACATCCATCAATCCATCCATTTCGCATTTACTAAGATTACGTGGAACTGATAGTATGTTTATTCAAGAAACGAACCTATTCTTGATAGCTAATAGCGTATGGTACAATGAACTTCACAAGGAGGTCTATAATCCCAACCGGACTATAAATAGCATGGGAATAATATAAATAGAAACACAAGACTGGACACACTTAGGGTTGCCAACTAAGGCTTTAATGCGTCAAGTCATGCTTGGTCTAAGAGTAGACTAAGTCTTTATTTCACTCTGGGACCAGAGCCTATCCTAAGTTAAGACCTATATGGCGGGATTCTAACCCAGGACCTGTAGATTACAAGTCAAAGGTCTTTATTATTTCCACACATTTTCAGAGATCACATTTTCCTTCAAGGAACATAGGCAATACTAAAAACATGCTGGAATTGAACCCGGAGTATTCCAACGTCCAATGCACGGTTATGCTCTAATAAATCTACAAGTCAATTTCGCCGTTAGTTTTTAGTTTACGTTTAGTTGGCAACCCTAGCCACTCTGGACCTATGGAGCCTATTTTTTGCATACACGGCTGCGTTTACCTTTTACGCGGCCTAACTGTTAGCATACTTGTCATCTGACTCACTGTTTTCATAGTAAATTTAAAGGAAGAAATACAAAAATAGTTTTGCAGAAGATGCGGATATTTTTAAAAAGTAACAATCAGTTCTTAAATATATATACTAACTTGACAGATATTCAAGCCCTTGCATAACATTTATTAAAATTTATCTGTCTTACTACGTAATCATACTAATATTATAAATGCGAAAGTTTAGATGGATGGATGTTTGTTACAGTTTGTAGGCTAAACTACAGAACGGATTTCGATATAATTCGGCATAGACTTAATGGATAGTCTGGAAGAACACAGACTACTCAGTTTTTTTTTAATTCTACGCGGACGGAGTCGCGGGCGAGAGCTAGTAACAAAAATGCGAAAGTTTAGATGGATGTTTGTAGTTTAAACTGCTGAACGGATCTAAATGAAATTTGGCATAGATGTAGAGGATAGTCTGGAAGAACACATAGGCTACGTACTTTTGCTTTTCTTTCATTTGACGCGGACGGAGTGGCTGTTGAAAGCTAGTATATCATTAATCTGAAATTTTGATGCTTGTTACTAAATATCTCCAGAAAGACTCAACGTATCTTGCTGATAATTGGCATTGAGGTAGAAATATAGTATCTAAGAAGACAAAACCTACCAATAAAGTTTTATTTAATACCAAACGGAGGGATAGGCGGGGAACAGCGATGCCATATAGACATGTTTATCGCCATACATAATTCACGTTTTTTTCTTATAGCACTATAGATTACACGACTTAATTGACCACAAACTCCTGTACCCGAATTACCGAGAAAATATCGAGGAAAATAAATTCTAATAACACTACGCAAATATAATCATGAAATGCAAACATCACGTTTATAAATTCTTAGTAAAAGAATAGCATTTTAGTTTACGTAATCATACTAATATTATAAATGCGAAAGTTTAGATGGATGGATATTTGTTAGAGTTTGTAGACTAAACGGCTGAACGGATTTCGATGAAATTTGGTATAGAAGTAGAGGATAGTCTGGAAGAACATATAGGCTTCTCACTTGTGTGTTTTTTAATTACACGCGGACGGAGTCGCGAGCAAACGCTAGTAAAAAATAAAGTTTTGCGATCCTAAATACCTCAATACATAGATTTCGGCTCAATTTATTTATCAGGGTTATAATTTTATGTATTTAATTAACTTCACATTATCCCTCAGTATTTATACTGTTTTTTTCTATAAGTTGACAGTCGAGCGAGACTCTACCTGAATTCGCTGAAAAAGCGAAGCGACAACTGCCTATGACATTGCCTACACTTAACTGACGGAGGAGGAGACTCACATAAACTGATATTTGCCTGATCACTTAAAATTTTATTCATTTTATTGTCAAGCTCAAAAGGTTGTTTATGTTGTCCGAACTATATAAAATAATAATAATAATAAGCCTTTTTTGTTTCAGTATGTATGCCGATATTAGCCTATGGTACAGCTATGGGTTGGATATCTCCTAACAAAGCTCTACTGATGGGGGAATCCTCACCATCAGACGCTCCACTATCAGAAGAAGATGTCTCCTGGATGGCGTCAATCATGTTCATCTTTGCACCGATAGCTGTCTTCATTTATGGAGTAGCTGCTGACAAATTTGGAAGGAAAAATGCGTTGCTATGCGCTTCTCTGCCAATATCTGTAAGTATTATTATCTGTCAGTCTATCCGCAAGCGTTTGTTTTGGGTAGACTACGAAAATCGCGGTTGGCCGGAACGTAGCTTACGCCGGGTATATTATAGGTTACTTATTTTTTAACTCCCCGCTGGTAAAGTCGCGGGTGACCTCTAGTGGTATAGTGTAAAGATAACCACATCTGCAAAATTCAACAATTAGTTTTCTTTTACTTTAGTTGCTTTATTATTTAGATCTAATCTCAAAGATTTCTCTGTTACAAAATTCATTGAATTGAACCCAAGACTTACACAATACCATATCACCACGTGTTAGAATTACTGATGATTACAGTAAAGGCATCTACACACATTACGTTAAAGTTTGAGAGCGGGCGCAAACCATTGTCAATTGTTTCGTTGTTAATTCAACTGTTCGGTTGCCCAAGTAAACATCGAGTGTATGTCCACCTCCATATCAGCAAATAGAAATCAAAGCACGACTAAACAGTGCGATAGTTTTGTCGAAGGTGTACGCGCTCTAAGGTGCGCAACACACGTCAGATATCCGATAAAGCTGTATTCACATTTTTTTGCCCTTTTCCCTACGTGATAACGACAAAGTATATACTCTTCGATACATCTCTATCAGCCGTCATATCTGAATTCACTTGTTTCTTACGTATATCTTCTCATACAATCCATCCATATCTTCTTTGTACTCCTCTACCTTTGTAACCATTCCACCTCAATACAATTTAATCATTCGGTCGTTATAAAAGAGCCTACACATGTTAAACTAAAGGTGCATTTGCACATTACTTGTCCTCTAAAGGCGCCTTCACACATTACGTATTTAAACGCCAGACAATTATAATGTAAATCTAAAATTAGCAACAAGACGTTTAGAGAATGTCTCGCTTTCCGGACAGTTCCGTTACATGCTCAGACGTTTTATTAAAACGTGAGTTTGCGGAGAAAGCTAATAGACAGCCCTTTCGATTCCAATCATGCGCTTAAATAAGGTGTCTACACACGACTCGTATAATAACTTAACTTAGGACAAAGTTTTGTAAAAACATGTAAAACCCTTCGAAAAGTTACACTCAATAAGAGTCAGAAGAATTTAAATTTACTAAACTGTTAAGTTTTGAAATACCTTATTTAAAAAAAAAACAAAGATAGATTTTATATTATGAATGTATGGATGTTTGTTCGTTTGTAGCCTAAACCGATGTAATTTACCATACATCTAGAGCATAATCTGGAAGAACACGTAAGGTACTTACTTTTGTAATATTTAAATTCCACGCGGACAGTCGCGGGCGTAAGCTAGTGCATTATAATTTAAAACTACAGTAAATGTAATATAGAAAACATAACCTCCAAATTACTCACGTGTGTAGTTACCTTAACACTTAAACTAACTAAATGACGCGTGTATAGTGAAACGTCTGGCGCCTTGCAGTTACCCGCCAGTAATGCTAACGGTATACACCGTTTAGAATCGTATAAAATAAGCTAATACCTTTAAAGCAATATGCCAGTACACACTTGCATGCCAGTTACTGACAGCTATACCAGTCTCTTCGTCCTAAACTGTTTAGATTGCAGTTTGAATTACATTACTACTTATTTTAATTTATCTTTACTTATATAGAAAAGAGGAAAGATTTGTATTTTTGTATGTAAATAATTCAAAAACTATTGGGCCGATTTCAAAAAATCTTACACCACTAAAAAGCTACGTGATCACTGAGTAACATAGGCTAAGTTTTTTTTACTATATTTTTATTTCTGGTGAACCTAGCGAGCAACGCTTATAATATAAAAAGGAAGGATTTGTGTTTTTGTATATATTCGATTCACATAAAAACTACTGGGGCTATTTTAAAAATTCTTTCATCATTAGAAAGGTAATTTATCTGTGTGAAACATAGGATAACTTTTTTATTATTTTTTTTAATATCAGTCGAGAGCAACAGCCAGTAATATTATAATATGAAGCACTTCTCAATTTTTTATTTGTATCTTTCACGTTCATTTGTTTACGTATTAAATTAAACAATATTTTTCCGTGCGTGGAAAGGTACACCGATAGAGGTAGTAGAACAAGATTGCGTGAAAGGTGACATAGTCAAGGGAGTGATGACTGAGACGACGTATGATAGAGTTATTTGGATGACCAAAACCGAATGCCGATACTACGGGAGTAGAATATAGTAGGGGAGATGATGAATAGTTTTCCGTACGTACTAATATGATAATGTTTTACAGCTGGGTTGGGCTATCAAGTTAATGTGCACGCACCCGATAGCACTAATCGGTGCGCGTGCACTGATCGGGTTTGGGTCCGGCGGCGGTTTTGTCGTCTGCCCGCTGTACGTCAAAGAGATCAGCGAGGACAGCATAAGAGGAATGACTGGGACGTTTGTTATATTCTCACAGGTGAGTTTTCTTTGCACATTTTAAATCATACTAATATTATAAATGCGAAAGTTTAGATGGATGGATGGATAGATGGATGGATGGATGTTTGTTAGAGTTTGTAGCCCTAACGACTGAACGTATTTCGATGAAATTTGGTATAGATGTAGAAGATAGTCTGGAAGAACACATAACCTATTCACTTTGCTTTTTTAATACCACGCGGACGGAGTCGCTAGCGAAAGCTAGTCTATTATAAATACGAATAGATGGATGTTTGTTAGAGTTTGTAGCCTAAACTGCTGAACGGATCTCGATTGAATTTGGTATAGATGTAGAGGATAGTCTGGAAGAACACATAGGCTACTTAGTTTTTTCCTTGTGTGGACGGAGTCGCGGACGAAAGCTAGTAAAATAATAGTCTTAAATCAGTTATCTAACCACTTGTTAAGGGGAACGTGTACTCGTATTAAGCTATTGTTTATTTATTGCAGTAAAAAGTTTTCCTTGTCATTTAGTTAGAATTACTGTGTTTTTTTAACAATAATTTGAATTTACTTTTACAGACAGTGGGTAACCTGGTCGTGTTCGTGCTGGGCGATCTTCTTCCATTCAACACGGTGCTCTGGATCCTTCTAGCAATACCCTTAGTCCACTTCTGTATATTGCTAAGGTTGCCGGAAACGCCGTCGTATTTAGTCAAGTGTGGAAGGAATGAAGTAAGTTCTGATTTCTGTACTCTACTGTTTTTACATTTGTGTTGTTGTCCCTTTTCTTTCTCTTTGATAAAAAAGAGACATGTGTACAAATGTCCCTGCTGGAATTCTATAGTAACTTATTGTTTTACTTGTGCAAAAACCTATTGATTATTCAAATACGTGCGGTAATAAAAATGTGTAACAAAATGGCCGCCATGTATGGAATTTGACATTTAACTTTTTACAAAATGGCATTCGTATGGAATACGATGGCATTTACGTTAGGAATTTACATTTTCCTTGTCTTATCGATTTTAAATTATTTTTATTGATATTGTAAATATAAATGTTTAAATGTATGTATGGAGAATGCTTGGATATAACTCCTAAACATCTCAATTAATATCGATGAAAGACATAGAATAGTCTGGTAGAACATATAAACCAATAAGTTTTTTTTTAATTCCGCGAGGACAAAGTCGTGGGCGACAGCTAGTTTACGATAGTACAAAGTTTTCAAATTGTCGCTAAGGTTACATGTTACATTACACATCATATAATTATCATATAAATATTATAAATGCGAAAGTTACGATGGATGGATGGATGTTTGTAAGCGTTTGTAACCTAAACGGCTGAACGGATCTCCATGAAATTTGGCACAGGTTTAGAGCATAGTCTGGAAGAACACATAGGATACTTTTTATCCCGGAAATAGGTTCCCGTGGGATTCATTAATTTAGTTTTATAATGGTTATTCCATCATTCTCCAACGGCTCAACATATCTTATTGAAATTTGGCACAGATACAAAACAAAGTCTGGAGTACACATGCGATAAGGTTCATCCCCGAGACATGTCCGGTTCCTGAGGAAGACGTAATTTTTTGTTATTTATATATTTCGTATGTTTTTAATACCACGCGGACGAAGTCGCGGGCAACAGCTGTAATAAAATAAATAGTCACATGACATTATTACTAATATTACAATAACATTGTATGCAATCTACATTTCAATAGGAAGGAAATAGTCTTCGAGTTGCGTCCATTTGGCTCATTTAAAAACAATAAAGAGCATCATACAAGTCATGCAGTTCCATACATTTAATTGATTGATGTCAAGTGTACATGCAAATTGTTGTATGTGTAAGGAAAATTGCTATTAGTGTAATTTTCCTTACATATATAACAAAATTGTTGCGAATGTTTTTATTGAAAGATGTTCATGTATGAAGTGTATCTATTTCTTGTTTATGGCTCTTCCACAGCCGATTGGGCCAGTGTCAAGTGTTTGATGTATGAAGTGACAAACGCTTCGCAACGATATAAGTTGGTATTGCTAGCCTTTATTTAAAACTAAGAAATGTGTGTTCCAGAACTTGCTCATGTACTTTTTACTTGCTGAGATCACGAATCTAAAAATATGACGCAACCTTAATATTATAAATGCGAAAGTTTAGATGGATGTTTGTTAGAGTTTGTAGCCTAAACTGTTAAATGAATTTCGATGAAATTTAGCAGCGATGTAAAGGATAGAGCACATAAGGTACTTAATATGGTCCGCGTGATGTTAAAAAAAAACAAAACCAAGTAGCCTATGTCATCTTCCAGACTATCCTCTACATTTATGCCAAATTTAATTAAAATCCGTTCAGCAGTTTAGACTACAAACTCTAACAAACATCCATCTAAACTTTCGCATTTATAACATTAGTATGATTGACAACAAACATTTTTACTCAACTGTGACTCTATTTCGTAACGTCTTATATCAGGACACAGCGAAGGTCCTCGGCTGGCTGCGGTCACTCCCTCATACAGACAAGACTATAAGCGAAGAAGTTGACCGACTTATCATCGAGCAGACCACAAGTGAACTTAAATTCTCGCCGAGACTTTTATGTAAGTTATTGAAGATTTTTTCACTATAGAAGCAGATGTTTTGCCAAAAATACAGTCTTCAAACGCTACCTTCAATGTTATGAAGTCAGTGATATTAGGAGGGAAATTACATGCCTGTAAAATGGCATATTAGCTTGATTTCCAGTACAACAGACTACGAGACGAGTCTAAATAGTATTAATATACCCCACTTGTCCCCTTCCTTGACTTGAATAGTCACAAAGCTGTCACAATAACTAGTGCTAGCTACTTTAATGACAGTTACTGTCTTGTCATGTTACACATACTTAAGCGCCAGCCTAATGGTTTGGGGTACGAACGGTCTTACGGTCGAGAGTTCGAATCCCGCTATTTGTCTGTCGTGAACCATATCCTAGTACAAGCCTAGAGCTTAGTTGGAATGGTTAAAGGAAATATTAGTAAACTAGATGTTCCTATGCGACTTCATCCGCATGTAGTTCTAAAAATTTTATTTTATTGTTTACATTTGTCAAATTATCAATAGCAAATGTCAAAATGACATGACATTACAAACCTTAGCAATTTTTTTTCTTGATGTTGGCAGCAACTTATGGTCTCTTTCCCACATTAGTTTTTATCCAAAATATTTACTCCCTAAGTTTAAAGACGTGTAAATATATAGCCTAAAGCGTGACGTAAGTGTAGGGCTTTTTATTATAAAAAGTATTATTCAAAAATATGCTGTAATTGCTGACATCTTAGGCAACAAAGAAGTGTGTGTTTACGCTTTATTATAATAGTATAGATTAACTAAAATCTACTAATACTTAAAAACATGCATGTAGGATGCAAGTGTGCCAACTATTGGCATGTGTGCACTTTTTACGCAGTCCCTTTCAATATACCCAACAATGTTGTAATACGTAGCTTCCCAGAGAATATCGACCCCACACTTCCCACAGTGGCAAATTCAAATTTGACACTCATGACGTCGTCAACCGCTTGACACTCCAATTGACCCCTAGAGTGGCATTTGACACAACGAACACAAGCAACCGAATTACTTACCGCCGCGAATTGAGAATAATGGCGGGGCACAAATATCAAGGACATTCGCGTCCACCCAATTGGCACAATAAATCTGTTTGCTGAACGATTTCATTGCTGTTGTTCCGTATTATGTTTGTTTATGTTGATCGAAAACAAATTTAAAGTACTTTTGATGCGCATTTTCATTCAAGACGCATAATGATCTAATCTATATGTATACTATTATAATAAAGCGTAAACACACACTTCTTTGTTGCCTAAGATAGGTTGCACTCGCAGCATATTTTTGAATAAATCTTTTTTTTTTAATAAAAAGCCGTACTCTTACGTCACGCTTTAGGCTGTATATTTTCACGCCATTAAACTTAGGGGGTAAATATTTTGGATAAAAACCCTAATGTGGGAAAGAGACCATAAGTTGCTGCCAACATCAAGGAAGCAATGTTGCCATACTTTGTCATCATGTCATGTCATTTTGATAATTTATATTTCATAATTGATAATTTGACACATGTAAACCATAAAATAAAATTTTCATATGCGGATGAAGTCGCACGGGAACAGCTAGTTAGAAATAGAAATGACTGGATATACTTTGTAAAGTGACAAGTGCTACAAAAGAAACCACGGTATAAAACCATCAAATCATTCACAGTCAAGTCCTTTTATGCAGTAATAAAAAACAACACCGACTTCTAAACAAAATACACTAAAAAACAAATAATCTCAAAAAACAATACATTAAAAAGTAACGAAATAATTCCTTGAAAATAGTAAACCTCCCTTATTGTAGCTGTTATGTTTATATTGTACAATTATTATTACTTTGAAGTCGGTGTCAGCCAATTATTATTATATATACGATATTTCTAAGGCTTTCTACATTTTTACCATAACAATTGACAATTGAAAGTATAGTAACAATTAAGTAATGAATCTACATTGACTGACGACTCCTACCTCCTTCTTTCGGGAAGTCGGCCAAAAATATCTACTCTCACTCTTAGTTACCGCGACAATACTCTCAAATATAACCCTTTAACCGCCACTATCAAAAATAAGATTTCTCAACCGCTGTTCATTCCTTGCAGTTTCCGACAAGACAGCAGTTAAGGCATTCTGGGTGGCATTAATAGTGAATTTAACGCGTGAATTCTGCGGTTGTATCGCTGTTTTGGTTTACGCCAGTCATATCTTTGCTGAAGCTGGCAAAGATCCTGATACAAGTATTGCGTTATCACCGAACAAGCAATCAATTCTACTCGCTGCTGTACAAATTATTGGCTCTTTCTTGGCTTGTCAACTCGTCGATAGAGCTGGTAGAAAGGTAAGATATTAGTGTTTGTTCTCGCTAATCTTAAGAAATACTTAATCAATATGAATAATTCTTTTTGTATTTGTTAGCCAGATTTTTAAGAAAGGTTACGCTAATAAATTACAATAGGAGTAAGGTAAATAATACGCAAAACTATAGAAATACGAGTTTTGATATCTATACTGAAGAAGTTAATGACAGCGCCATCTATCAATTTTATAATGTTAAGTCTATAAAATATTCCTGTCTTAGTGGTTGTTGGTTGTCTTTTTCAATTACTAGCTTATGCCCGTGAATTGGTCCGCGAGGATTCAAAATATTACAAAAAGCAAGTAGCCAGCGTATTCTTCTACATTATTCTACATTGTGCTAGATTTCATCGAGATCCGTTAACCCGGTTTAGTGATTTAACACACTTTTGCATTTTTGACTAAATTATCGCACGACTGTTGTGCGATTGTTTCGCAGCCAATTCAACTGTTTAGTTGCACAAGTAAACATCGGGTAATGTGCGCACCATATAAGCAAGCAATCAAAGCGGGACTAAACAGTTGTGCGATACTTTAGTCAAAGATGTGTGTACGCTCTTATATTAGTATGATTATAAAGGATGTTCTAATTTGTTTCCGTTTGTCAGCCACTTCTAGCAGTAACAAGCGTGGTTGCGGGCTTCAGCATGTGTCTGCTGGGAGTGTGGTTCTATCTGCA